ATTGCGTTTGTTATAGAGCGACTGTTGAAAATAAGTGTATCGGTAAAGTTATATTCAGAAAGAATAAACCAGTTTTATTAAGAAAGGACTTGATTCGCTAAAGTTTCGTGGGAACGAAGTTACGGAAAATCAACTAACGAACGGAGACGTAACAGTATTATACGTGATGTACGTTTTTGGGGGCTGGTTAATGAAAGTGTTCGAAAACGCAATATTAATTTCTTGACGATCTTATACAAGCGGCCCGGCATGGACAGGTGGTTAGGGCGCTCGACTCGCAATAATGTGACAATTCGTTGGTAAAAGAGTAGCCCAAGAGTTGGCGGTGGTTGGTGATGACTAGCTGCCTTCCCTCTAGTCTTACACTGCTAAATTAGGGACGGCTAGCGCAGATAGCCCTCGTGTAACTTTGCGCGAAATTCAAAACAAATAAACAAACCTAATACAATGGTGTAATTTACAAAACTAAGGACATATATATATATATATACATGGCGAACTATGATTTCACTGGAAAAGCCTTCCTTTAGACGGTCTGATACTAATACTCTATATTTATTGAGAAATACTATGAGTCTCAAAATCGCATATGCACTCTAAATAGTGGGTTAGCATATGTTTGCCTGTGAATTTTCTAATGCCCATGACTGACTTATAGTTAGTCATAGGTACAGAGCTCAATGGGTAGTACCAAAATACCGCCTTCCGGAAACGGAAATCATATTATGCGGTGATCCCAATATTAGTTCCGAAGGTCTAAAGAAAATGGCGTCCTTGCTGAGTAGAACGTTGAGCTGTGCAGAGAAAATAGTCTTCAGAAATGGTTCTTTGGTAGGCTGTTTTTATGTATTTACAATCTTTGAATTTCGAGAAAATTATGAGATAAACGTTATGACGATAAGTATGCGTAAGCAAAAGAGTTTAAAACATAGTGACTCATAATCTTAGTTACAGCTACTGAACTAGTCTCATATGATATCAATATTATCATATACGTTAGAGCCTACACTATTACTATTACAACTTATAAGTAGTGGTACTAGTCCTACACCTCCTGAGTCCTAGCCCTACACTACAGCCTAAGATTCAAATAACTTATTTTTACAAAGGCTACAATTTTTTCATTAAAGGTTGATAATCCTTGTCCCCCCTTTGGAACAACAGAATGTTATTCTATAAGTTATACTTACAGCACCAACAACTTTCCTAATCGGGATTGTGTAATGATATGGGCGCAGAGTATGATAATAGTATACTACTAATAATTAATATGAGTATGATATTAAACATTCACGATAGTAAGAGCTGATATAAACTTATAATAAAGCAAGATTACTGTATTAAACTTGTATATTTAATATTATTTACTTCTGTATGAATCTAGGTTAGCTTATGTGATGACGAAAATTGATACCTGAATACCAGATTCACTTTAAATTGTTAATTTAGACATTTTAATTTTGTATCAGATAATTTATAGATGCAAAAGGTCTTGTTGGCAAATTTAATTATTTCAAACTAGAGCTATTTAGAATGTTCTAGTTATTACTATTAGTTGGTACTTTGATGGGCAATTCATGGTCTTTTTTTTTTGGCAAATTATATTCACAGTTTGATTAATGATTGTTCTAGTTCAGTTTTACTGACATAAATTTCTTTATTAATTAAACAAAATAGTTACTTGCTTGCAAATACACCAGTGTTTTTTTACTTTAAAATATACATAGCTTACAAGGCTATTAATGTTGATGATGTTAAAGCAGTAGACTTGTTAAGATCTTTCAATGAATAAATTTGAAAGATGAAGTTCTTGTGAAAATTTTACTAATGGAACATAAATGCAAACAACTAGGGATTTTTTTGTTCCCTCGAGGCTGTCCCTGCACACTCACGCTCTCAACCTTTATTTTTCAAGAAAATTTCCATCTTAAACTCCTGTAAAGATAGTACTGGCCTTATTGCTAATAGCAACTCATTCCATAAGACAATCATGCTGTTAGTAAATTAAAACTGTATTAATTGATACTTAGGTTGTTTTTTTTTCCTTATTTTAAGTGGGTGTCTTCTTGTTCTATAGTCTTCAGAATACAGCATAATCATATAAACATCAATAAGATGACTTCTTGCTCTTCTTTTCTCAAGAAGACTATTAGATAACCCTTTCATCCCTAGAATTATACTTGTAACCCTTTTTCTGAACCATTTCTAATAAGTCAATTTTCTTTCTTAGATAAGGAGACCAAAGTTGTACAAGTAAGGCCCAATTAGTGTTTTAGATAGAAAAATAATTACCTCTTTTGACTTGTAATAAAATTATGTTAGCTTTACTTCTTACAACAGAGAACTACCTTGGTGACTTGAGTGACAAATCTCCAGCTAAACCAAGTTCCTTTTCTTCAATCATGCTATTAAGTGGGTTTCCATCTGTATTAAATGTGTGATTCAAATTATCATAACCAACATGCTCATAATTTAATTAACGGTCATTTGCCCGACATGTGTCCAACTTACCAACTGATCAAAGTCAATCTCAACTCAGTTACTTAGCCTCGTCATTACAACTAGAAATATCCAAGAGTTTAATGTCATCAGTAACCTAAGCTACTAAATATGTCCATATTAATATCATTCATGTAAATCAGCAAAAGCCAAGGCCCAAGAACTGAACTCTGAGGCACTGCACTAGTAACAAGGGTCTACTTTGACTGGACTTCATTAAAAAAAATCCTTTTCATTTCTTATTCAACCACCTTACAATCAATTTGGGGTATTGTGTTCAGTCTTGGACTTCTTACTTAAGAAAGGACCTTGAATTGTTGGGGTTTAAAGGAGGGCTACTAAGATAATACCTGGGATGGAAAGGTTGTCTTAAGAGGACAGGTTAGGTTAAGATCTGGAATGTTTTTCATGAAAAAAAGAAGTTAGAAGGGATCTGATTGAGGTATTTAAGGTTGTTATTGAAATTGATATTACTGATGTGTCTAGATACCTGTATACAACATCAATGGCGATACCCTCATCCAGATAAGCAAAATCTTTAGAAAATTCCAGCAAATTAGTAAGATAAGAAATTCTCTTCTCTAAAGCTGTACTCAGAATTTTTTTTCCCTATCCCACCTTTAAAGGATACAAGGTTAAGATTCAGACAGAGCAGTCTAGGCTTCATTTAAGACATTATTTAAGACAGGGTGATTGACTAATCAAATGAGTTGCCATCAGCAGTAGTAGAGGCTGGAGCCTTACAAGAGTTTAAAAAGAAAACTGATGGTTTCCAAAACAATAAAAGGTGGATTTAACTTTTTGCTTTTTCTTAGGGGTTGGTGTACAGGGACCAAATAGTCCATTGTTGACCATAATGTTTTGATTCCTGACAATGCATTCCAATATAGTTTACCAACAATGGAAATCAGATTAATTGGTTTGTGGTTTCCTGGGTCTTCCCCAGACTTTTTTTTTTTAATATATATGTATCACATTGGCTACTTAAATTAAAATCTTGTAGCAGCTCCCTAATAAAGTTTCCACTTTATAGGAAAAGTTGCTATAATTGATATCTTCTGGAGAATCAGAAAACAGACTAACAACTTGTGCTTATTTTAGGAAAATATTACAGTTGTGTTGAGTAGGAAAGTGAAAAATGTTTACTCAATTTAGTAGGGCTAACAGCATTGCTCAGCTCACTTCATAAAGTTTTGAAAAGAAACCACAAACAGTGGTGGCTATACAAGGTGTGCAAAATATGCAGTGCATAGGGGCCCATGAGCTCTAGGGGACCAACCAAGCCCTAATCCAATTAACTTTAAAAGGTCTGCTAATGAACAATGGTAAACTGAGAACAGCAAAGTTTCCAAAATTTATCCTGAACAAGGGTCCCAAAGCTAAGTATGGCTGCTGCTGACCACGAAAAACTTTACAAGAATATGTTTCAACCCTCTTCACTAAACTTTTGACACTATATATACTATGCCAGTAACCTGAAAGTGATAGAACTCTTTAAGGAATGCATCCAACTGACAATCTCCATTATAGCAGAACTCAAAACTTTCTCTATCAAAAAAATCTACATCCAACATAAAGATAAATACTACCAACAACAAGAATGTCTAGCTGTGGACACATTTCTATCTTCAGTACTCAGTAATCTCTACTTGGAACATTTTAAAGTTAACATATTCAAAACGGCAGTTCTTTGCCTCGAGATCTAGCTCTGATATGTTGATAATACATTTATAGAATGGCCACATACTAATGACATGAATTAAGAATTCGTGAACAAATGACATCCCATTATACAATTCTCAATGGAAAAAGAAAACTTTATCTCTAATTTTTTGATCTGATGATTACAGGAGTTTAGAGAAAACCAATAGGTAGAAGTAAATACCTCAACTATAAATGAAACTACTCTGATGGTGTAAAGACAGGTGTCATAGACTATCTAGTTTCCAGAATGACCAAGATTTGTAATGCTGAAAATGATAAGAAGAAGGAAGAAAAAACATATCACTACAACCTTCATTAACAATGGATAGCCAGAACACTTGATGAAGAAGAAAATGATGATAAACACCAAGAATAATCAAGAAGGAAATTAAAGATATACAACCATATTCCCATATTTCAGAGGATATGTAAACAAAATAAAATTCAAACAATATTCAGAAGTCACAATACAATACAATTGCAGTTAGTACACCCCAAACATCTAAAGATCCAAGGAGAGAGAAAAAACACCAGGTACAACATCCCTTGTAAAGGTGGGTTCAAATAAACAAACAAAAAGACCAATAAAAGTTAAAATTCAGGAGCATAATTGCTGTGTAAAACTTGGTAATACTGATCTATGTCGGGAAAAATAAGACCATATAACAAATTGGAATAATACTAAAATAATAGGATATGAGTCACACCTGAAAAAAAAAGCAAAAAGATAAAAGAAGACTTCTACATCCGCCTAATACACAGCAAACCTAACATAGAAGACAACAAAATTTGGACACCCCTCTTGAAAACATTCAGTTATTTGATTCAAGTTCTACTAGGGAAAACATCAGTCAAGTGGATAGCATGTTAGACTTTCTAAGAAGTTCGCTAAAGATGGCAGCAGATAAGCTGTTGAAATGCAGGATAAAAAATAGTTAGTAATTAGTATCTAGTCATATTAAAAAGTTACTAATTAACAATTAAACTTGGGTGATTGTTTAGGCTACTAACACTGACAACAATTGATATCTGATAATCAAAATCTGACTTAATATATATTTTTATTTCTTTCCTTTCAAATTTGCCCTAGATGAGGAAAGCTCCACCTTTCAAAAGTGCTCTGGTTATAGGGTTTTGTATTTTTATGTTTCCTTGATTTTTTTAACCTACTTGTTTTCCTAACATAATGAATGAACATAACAGAAATTTAGCCACATAATATAAACTTTTTTTAAAAGCAATATGCTAATTTGAAATAGCATGTACTTTTACAAAATAATGCAGTTTTTTTAATAACTATGTATCATTTATTACACTTTTATGTAACATTCTTTTTGCTTTGAAATTTAGCTCAAGAATACAACTGCTGTATGTGGAAAATTTCAGCAGCGACGCAACTTGAATCTACATGAGCATATTAGCATGAGTATTTTACGAGACAATGGAGTTAAAGTTCCTAAGTTTGGAGTAGCTGACACTCCTGAGGAAGCAGAAAATATTGCTGCAGAATTAGGTGTGCTAATTTTTTTTTATATCATATGTAGTCAAATGATTGTGAGTGTGATATTCTTATTTGATTTTTAATTGTCTTCTACAAGTTATTCTGTGAGAATTATGATTAAATAACAAGCAGTTTTGATTATAATGTCATTTCTAGTTATTTTTGAGTGGTAAAACCAAAATTTGTTTAAAACATACATTTTCTGTAGATTTTGTTTTGAGGGATGAGTTTTGTAAAATATTTTTATAGCATACCACAAAGTATAATGTTTAGGGATAACAAAGGATCTATTGGTCCATCTTGGCCTGTCCCATCCTCTAAACTAAACTAAAAGTATTAGGTCATCAAGAAATTAATGAAAAAAACCCAAACAACTTGTATATCAAAAACAAAATATTTATCAAATGAAATATTCTCCATTCTCATCGATGATGTCTTTT